TAGAGCGCTTGCCTTGCATGCATGAGGCCCTGGGTTCAATTCCTCAGCACCACATAAGCAAAAAGAAAAAAGCCAGAAGTGGCGCTGTGGCTCAAGTCGTAGAGCGCTAGCCTTGAGCTGAAAAGCTGAGGGACAGTGCCCAGGCCCAGAGCTCAGGCCCCATCACCGGACGACCCCCCCCCCCAAATAAAAAAAAAACAGCAAATAAAACTCCGAGACAGTTAGGTAATTCTAGCACCTTAGGAGGCTGAGATCTGAGGATCAAAGTTCAAAGCCAGCTGGGCAGAAATTCCATGAGATTTACCTCCAATTACCCAGCAAAAAGCTGGAACTGGAATTGTGGCTCAAGTGATAGAGCCTCAGCCTTGAGTGAAAAAGCCAAGCAAGAGCATGAAGCCAAGAGTTCAAGTCCTACTACTGTCATAAAAAATAAAGACAGCAAATAAAACTTAGAGACAATAGATTAAAAGTATAAAGATAAGAGCGAAAAGTATGAAACACAAAGCAAACATACAATAGAGAAAAATTGAAGATGGAGGAGTGGCTCAGGTGATGAAATGCCAGCCAATGAGTGGAAGTGTGAGATACTGAGGAAGAAGAAGGAGGAGGAGGAGGAGGAGGGGGAGGAGGAGGGGGGAAAGGAGGAAGAAGAGTTGCTGCCAGGTACCAGTGGCTCATGCCTGTAATCCTAGCTACTCAGGAGACTCAGGAGGCTGAGATCTGAAGGTTGTGGTTCAAAGACAAACCAGGCAGGAAAGTCCAGGAGATTCTGAGCTCTAATAAACTACTCAGAAAAAGCTGGAAGTGGCACTGTGGCTCAAGTGGTAGAGCGCTAGCACTGAACACCAAGAGGCTCAGGGACAGAGATCAGGCCCTGAATTCAAGCCCCAAGACTGGCAGGAAAAAAAAAATCAACAGTGTAATAAGTTGGTTCTTTGAACAGATTAACAAAATAATAGTAAGTTCCATTCTTGCTCCAGAAATTTAGAGAAAGACATAAACGATGGCTATCTGGAATGAAGGTAGTCACTTTTGCAGATTCTGCAGATGATAAGGGGTTAATAGGAATTTTTTAACTTATGGCTTTGTTTTCAGTAGGGCTCAGATGGCACTAGTTTACTCCTTATACTGCTCCTGTGGATTCTCTGTATCAACAGCTTTGCTAATGCCTCCTCTATTCATGAAGCTAGAACCTCAGTATTTTTAAGCTGAGGTTCAGTGAAATAAATTAAGATGTATTTGTTTAATGGAATTAAACAGATTGGAATGGAAAAGAATACAATCTCATAGAATAGAATGAAAGGGAATGAAATAGAATCCAATAGAAATAGAAATAGAGTAGAATAGAGTAGAATAGACTTAAGGTAGGGCTGGGAAGGTGGCTCAGTGGTGGAGCGCTTGCCTTGCATGCTTGAGGCCCTGGGTTCAATTCCTCAGCACCATATAAGCAGAAAAAAAAAGCTGGAAGTGGCGCTGTGGCTCAAGTGGTAGAGTGCTAGCCTTGAGCTGAAGAGCTGAGGGACAGCACCCAGGCCCAGAGTTCAGGCCTCACAGCCGGACCCAAAAAATAAAAAAGAATACACTTAAGGTAGAGTCAACATTAGCCAGGCATTCATGGTTTACGCCTGTAATCCTAGCTACTCAGGAGGTTTACACCTGTAATCCTAGCTACTCAGGAGGATCAGATCTAAGGGCCAGCGTTCAAAGCCAGCTTGAGTAGAATAGTCTGAGAGACATTATCTCAGATTAACCAGTTTTAAAAAAAAACTGGACTAGGGATATGGCTCAAGTGGTAGGTGCTAGCTATGAGCTGAATCAGCCAAGTGAAAAAGGCCCTGAGTTTGAGCCCCAATACTGGCAAAAAAAAAAGGTGCAATGATGACCTTATGAATAACAGGCAAAAGAGTAGTGGGGAAGGTGGCTCAGTGGTAGAGTGCTTGCCTTGCATGCAGAAGGCCCTGGGTTCAATTCCTCAGCACCATATAAGCATAAAAAGCCAGAAGTGGTGCTGTGGCTCAAGTAGTAGAGTGCTAGACTTGAGCTGAAATGCTCAGGGACAGCGCCCAGGCCCAGAGTTCAATCCTCACTACCAACAAAAAAAGGGGGGGGCCTCTTTGCCAGGCACCAGTTGCTCACGCCTGTAATCCTAGCTACTCAGGAAGCTGAGATCTGAGGATCATGGTTCAAAGCCAGCCCGGGCAGGAAAGTCTATGAGACTCATATCCAATGAATTACAAGAAAACCGGAAGCGGCACTGTGGCCCAAGTGGTAGAGTGCTAGCCTTAGCTGGAGAGCTAAGGGAAAGCACCCAGGCCCAGAGTTCAAGCCCCACAACCAACAACAACAAAAAAAGAAGGGCTGGGAAGGTGGCTCAGTGGTAGAGCGCTTGCCTTGCATGCATGAGGCCCTGGGTTCACTTCCTCAGCACCACATAAGCAAAAAGAAAAGAGCCGGAAGTGGCAGTGTGGCTCAAGTGGTAGAGTGCTAGCCTTGAGCTGAAGAGCTGAGGGACAGCGCCCAGGCCCAGAGTTCAGGCTCCATGACCAGACCCAAAAAAAGAAGAAGAGGAAGAGGAAGAAGAAGAGGAAGGAGGAGGAGGAGGAGGAGGAGGAGGAGGAGGAAGAAGAAGAAGAAGAAGAGTCTCACAAGAAGAAGAGTCTCACAGACTTTCTTGCCCAGGCTGGTTTTGAACTATTGCAGTTATGAGCCACCAGTGCCTGGTTAAGCCCTTTATAATACAACTTTTTTCCCTTTGGTCTGTCATGGGGCTTGAACTCAGCCTCTGGGGACTGTCCCCAAGCTCTTTTGCTCAAAGTTAGTGCTCTACCACTTGAGCCACAGTTCTACTTCCAGCTTTTTGTTTGGGGGGGGGTGCAGTTTATTGGAGATATTGGTCTCATAGACTTTCCTGCCCAGGCCGGCTTTCAACTGCAATCCTCAGATCTCAGCCTCCTGAGATGCTAGGATTACAGAAATGAGTCCTAGGTGCCTGGCTTGACTTGGTTTTTAGCTACCATCATCTTTGTTAATGACAGGCACATTATAATCCTGTAACAGATGTAAGTGTAGAGTACTATAGAATGCAGGTTAAGACCCCAGCATAGTGGTGACATGTTTGTAACCCTAGTACTTATAAGGCCATGATAAGAGTATTGAGAGTTTCAAAAGAAGGCCTAAAGAAGGCCCCCCAAAAGCTAGAAGTGGAGCATCAGCCTTGAGAACAAAAGCTCAGGGGCAGTGCCCAGGACTAGAGTTAAAGCCCCAGGACTAGCAAAAAGGAAAAAGAAAAAGAAAACAGAAAAGCAAAAGGAAAAAGAAATAGAAGAAACAAGAGTGGGCATGTTGAGCACATCTGTTCTTGTGAATCCATACCTGGGTAAAAAGACTTTACTGAGGGGCTGGGAAGGTGGCTCAGTGGTAGAGCGCTTGCCTTGCATGCATGAGGCCCTGGGTTCAATTCCTCAGCACCACATAAGCAAAAAGAAAAAAAAAAGCGTGAAGTGGCACTGTGGCTCAAGTGGTAGAGTGCTAGCCTTGAGCTGAAGAGCTGAGGGACAGTGCCCAGGCCCAGAGTTCAGGCCCCACAACCGGACCCCCCCCCCGAAAAAAAGACTTTACTGTTTCTTGAGGGCCATTCTGCTTAAAATAGGGTTAAGGATTCCTCATAGAGCTGGGAGGTGGTAGAAAGAAAAGACATGGAAACGTTGCCAAAAGCAATGTGGGTTTTTTCCTTACTGTTTTTACTTTTTAGCCATGGAGGGCCAGCAGTCATATACCTTCCCAGTGTTTTATCCGACGACTGGACCACATTGTGATGACAGTAAAAAGCATTGAAGAAACCATCACATTCTATTCCCACATCCTGGGCATGGAGGTCACCACTTTCAAGGTAATCACTTCTTTAAAGGCCAACTACAGGTGGATTAGATGATAACACTTTAAAATATAACTTAAAGCCAGGAACATTAGCATATACATATAGGAAGATTGTGAGTTCAATTTGGTTATTTTGCCATTTAATGACTTGAAAATACTTCCCTCTTCAAAAAAGAGCCATCTGTCTTCCCAGTCCCTCCATATCATAAAAGCAGAAGGGTTTGTCTTTTGCAAATAGATATAGATTAAAGCAGGTTTAATTTGTTGATGGCTAAGAACAAACAGCTCAATATTTATTAAAGTGTTTCTTTAATAAGGAATTTTTTCTTGAAACCAAAGATCAGAACTGGTAGGTAAGTTATTAAGTTCTATATGAAAGGATATTCTGTGGAAAAAGTAGAGAATACATTCAGCAAAGGAAGGGAAAAAATGACATGCTCTTTTGATTATGTTCTATGTCTAAATTAAAATTCCAATTAAGAGCTGAAAAAAAAAAGATTGTGAGTTCAGTGCCAGCCTGGGCTACAGAGCAAGACCCGGTCTCGTAAAACAATACATAGATAAGTTGGCTTCTGTAATCTTAGCTACTCAGGAGGCTGAGATCTGAGGATCACAGTTTAAAGGCAGCCTCTCAGGAAAGTCCATGAGACACTTATCTCAAGTTAACCACCAGAAAACCGGAAGTGGCGCTGTGGCTCAAGCAGTAGAGCACTCACCTTGAGCTGAAGAGTTCAGAGACAGCACCCAGGCCTAGAGTTCAAGCCCCACGACTGTTAAGAAAAAAATAGCTAAAATAAATCATAACTTAAAGGTTTGAATGTGGCTTAGTGGTATGCCAATTTCCCAGCATGCTTAAGATACTCGGTTTCACCTAGCACCTTACAAAAAGGGGGGGAAGGAGAGGAATACAACAACTCCAAAAACAAAACACAGGAAATATGAGAACTATAATAAAAGAATCAATGAAAGAGATTCCAAATTCTAAATAGGGGAACTTTTAGAGAGAGGGAGAAAAGGACAGGGTAAGGAACTGGAAACACGTTTTGGTGGGAGGGCAATGGGAGAGTATGTATATGGATGGAGGAAGGGTCTGCAAATGTACTTATCATAGACAATGTGCATTATACAAAAACTGGACCAGATAACTTGAGGGTAGGGATAGAAGGTGGAATATGGGGAAGAATGAAGGAAAGGGGGGGCTGGGAAGGTGGCTCAGTGGTAGAGCGCTTGCCTTGCATGCCTGAGGCCCTGGGTTCGATTCCTCAGCACCACATAAGCAAAAAGAAAAAGAGCCGGAAGTGGCGTTGTGGCTCAAGTGGTAGAGCTCTAGCCTTGAGCTGAAGAGCTGAGTTCTGGCCCCACGACCGGACCCCCCCCAAAAAAAAAGAATGAAGGAAAGGGTAACACTGACCAAGAAGCATTGTACTCCTAGCCTGATTTATGGAATTGTAACCTCTTTGTACAACTACTTAGCAATTTATTTTTATTTTTGTTTTTGTTGGTCATGGGGCTTGAACTCATGGCCTAGGCACTGTCGCTGTGCTCTTTTGCTAAGGTCAGTGCCTACCACTTTAAGTCACAGCTCTACTTCCAGGTATTTTTAGTGGTTAATTAGAGATAAGAGTCTTACAGGGACTTTCCTGCCTGGGCTGGTTTCAAACTGAGATCCTCAGATCTCAGCCTCCTGAGTAGCTAGGATTATAGGTATGAGCCAATGGTGCCCGACAACTACTTAATAATTTTTTTTTTTAGTCGTGGGCCTGAACTCTGGGCCTGGACACTGTCCCTCAGCTCTTCAGCTCAAGGCTAGTGCTCTACCACTTGAGCCATAGTGCTACTTCCGACTTTTTCTGCTTATGTGGTGCTGAGGAATCGAACCCAGGGTGTCATTCATGCAAGTCAAGCACTCTACCACTGAACCACCTTCTCAGCTCCTTTTT